TTTAGGTCATACCTGAGTGGTCTAGTGGTTTTCCCTACTCTCTTCAGTTTAAGTCTGAATTTGTCAATAAGGAGTTCATGATCTGAGCCACAGTCAGCTCCTGGTCTTGTTTTTGCTGACTGTATAGAGCTTCTCCATCTTTGGTTGCAAAGATGACCTCCAGAAAGTTCCTCACACAGTGCCTGACACATAATATCCCTGTGGTGACACGCTCTTGCTGGCTGAGCACTGTAGGAATTGAAAATGTGAACATTGGGCATGAATGATGGGAATGACCCTTTGAAGAGTCAGCTGAAAATTATTCGATGAAAAAGAAGTGTCTCTGGGTTGGTAGTATTTGAGGAGATATTGATGTTTTCCTTTGTATTTATTTGTTTTTTTAATTGAAAAAAAAAGATTTTGCATTACAGTTCAATTTTATCTGCAATTCTTTGACACATCTACTTTTTAAAAATTTTATTGCTGAAGTAAAGTTGAACATATCCGGGGCTTCCCTGGTGGCTCAGATGGTAAAGAATCTGCCTGCAATGCAGGAAACCAAGGTTTGATCCCTGGATCAGGAAGATGTCCTAGAGAAGGGAATGGCTACCCACTCCAGTATTCTTGCCTGGTGAATTCCATGGACAGAGGAGCCTGGTGGGCTGTAGTCCACGGGGTTGCAAAGAGTTGAACATGACTTAGCTACTAAAACTAACTGAACACATCTGGTTTTTTTACAGCATATTAGAACTATAAAGGTGATTTTGCATGGAAATGATTGTTCTATAGAATAATATTATTATTGCTGTTATTGCACAAATGTTTTAGAAGATTTCACATTTGCTCAGTAGAGCTTGACCACTCTTGAATCACTTTCTGTTTGGGTGATGCTGTGTTTCCTCATCTAATAACTTCCTTCATTTCTCTCAGTCTATTTTTTCTGTCATTCCTTAATTCCCTATCTCCTCAGTATACCACTTTTCATTATTTCTGGTCTAAACATTTTCAGTAAAGCAGATATGATAAAGGGTTAAATGAGCATTTAAAAAGTTAAACATTCACAAATTATTTAGTCACTGACAAACTAGTGCAAGGACCAAATCTGGCCAGCAAACTATTCATATAAATAAAGCTTTATTGTAACCATGCTTTTTAAATTAAATATTGTCTATGGCAGCTTTAGGGCTTCCCTGATCACTCAGTGGTCAAGAATCCACCTGCCAATGCAGGAGACATGGGTTTGATCCCTGGATCAGGAAGATCCCCTGGAGAAGGATATGGCAACCCACTCCAGTATTCTTGCCTGGGAAATCCTGCGGACAGAGGAACCTGGCAGGTTATGGTCCATGGGGTCACAAAAAAGTGAGACTGGATTAAGTAACTAAAACAACAACAGCAAACAATGGCAACGTCAATGCTACACAATAGAATTGGATAGTTATAAACCGTCTCTACAGTCTGCAAGGCATAAAACATTTCTTATCTGATTTCTTACAGGAAAGTTTGTCAACCTGGATTTAGTTTAGCCCAGATTTTGAAAATCAGGATAAAATTTTTTTAAAAATCTGAAACAGGATGTATTCTTTAAGGTAGGAATTGTGCCTTCACTCATCATTTTATCCTTAGTTCCTAGCCTAAAGCCAGGCTTAGATAAGATACTAAACAAATATTTGTGGAATTGAATTGATTACATTAATTTTAAAAATTAAATACTTAAAAAGAAATTTCCTCCTGTTATGTTGTTATTAAGGCTGGCACTGTAGAGTAAACTAGCAGGACTAGCCCGTGAGAATGACCATTATAAATAATCTCCCTGGGTGATTTGTAATACATTAGAAAAACATTCCTTTTGTGAAAAAATCTATTAGTTTAATGGAATTATATGTTTGAGAGAGAATACTTGACCCCCTGCTGCTTCTTTTAATGTCTTGCCTTTTATGCTAAGATTCCTTGAATAATTTCTTAATACTTTAGGTAGGACCATCCATCAAATTCCAAGACTCATGAACAGGAAGTTCTCCACGTATTTTCAGTAGGTGTGTTGTAATACCTGGTTTGGGAAGTTGAGTAGAAAAACCTTGGTACCTCTCTGGTTACAGATGTATTACAAAATTAATTTTAATAGTTGCATTGCTATAAAGATCAAAATGCTCTAAACTATTGTAATTATCATTTTTATTCAAAATTTTGCAAAGAGAGGAATCTAATTTTAGAAATGATACTTTTTAAAAATTAGTGTATGGACTTCTGGCTTTCCTTCTGTGAGTCCATTAATTTTTCTGTGATGGAACAAATATTAAGTTTGGAAATTTTTTCAAAAAATACTTCTTATTGATAAGAATCACCTGTGATACTTGTTTCAAAAAAGTTCGAAGGGGAAATTTGAACAGCTAGAACACAGAGGATTTGCAGGGGCAGTGAAACTATTCTGTTTGATACTATGGTAGATACACATCATTATACATTTGTCCAGATCCATAGAATGTTAAACACCAAGAGTCAACCTTAATGTAACTATGAACTTTGGATAAAATGGTATGTCAAATGTAGGTTCATCAGTCGTAACAAATGGACCACTCTGGTGGGGAATTTTGATAGCAGCTATACATGTGTGGCACAGGGAATATATGGGAAATCTTTGTGCTTTTCTCCAAAGCTTGCTATGAACCTACTGCTGCTCTGAAAAAGTAAAATCTTAAACAAAAGGTAATAAAATTCCTAAGCCTCCTAAATTCCCATTCAGTGTTTGTGGGGTGGGGTCCAGGACTCTTTTAAATATAAATACTCCAAGTGATTCACATCATCAAAGAAGTTTTAGGAAATGCTACTGTGAAGAATACCTTCACATTTTGAAAATCATATATGAAGTGATTTACTAAGCTTGAAAAACTTACCTGGTCCTATTGATATGCTCCCACCATTGATGAGAGAATGTCATATTGAGTAAAGTAAGTCAGATAGAGAAGGAGAAACATCATACGACATCTCTTATATGTGGAATCTAAAAAGAAATGATACTAATGAACTTATTTACAAAATTGAAACAAATTCACAGAGTTAGAAAACAAACTTAGGGTTCCTGGAGGGAAAGGATGGGGGGAGGGGATAGTTAGGGAGTTTGAGATCTACATTTATACTCTGCTATATTTAAAATGGATAATGAGCAAGGACCTACTGTACAGCACAGGAAACTTTACTCAATATTATTTATGAACTAGCCTGGATGGGAGGGAAGTTTGGGGGAGAAGGGACACATGGATATTTATGGTTGAATCCCATTGCTGTCCACCTGAAACTATCACAACATTGTTAATTGGCTGTACTCCAATATAAAATAAAAAGTTTAAAAAAAGAATGCCTCCACATTTAAAAAAATCATATATGAAGCAATTTGAGTAAGTTCGAAAAACTTACCTGACCCTATTAATGTACTCCCACCAATGATGAGGCCATTTCAATATTTATTCATAGAATTTAATATTTGTACTTTAAAATGCTAAATTTTAAAAAAAGTTTTCAATTACTTATAGTGAGTTTCTTTTAATATTTTAGTCACTGACTCTCCTTCAATATTTTGAGCATATTTGGGTCAGAGATTTCCCCTGAGAAGTTGATGAAATCTGTGTAATCTCTCCCCAGGAAAGTTAGCACAAAATTTTGTGCATATAATCACAAGGTTTCTACTTACCCTGACATGGAATAATGGACCATGACTATGGACCAGTTTAAGAAATATTCTTCAGTTGGAGCCCCTTTGTTTTTAATTTTGCTCTATATGTAAATGTGTTTACCGTTTGTTTTTTTTTCCCCCCAATAAGGTGCTATAAATTTAATAATTGTGCCAGTATCCTAACTGTATGTATCTCCCTTTCCAGTTAAATAGGACATATATTGTCATCGTACTTCTTTTGCTTAATATGTCGTTTAAGAAATAAAAATTTCACATATTCTGATACAGTTGTGGATTTGGGGGATGCTATTTATGGAAAGAGCAGGAAGTTGACAGTTTGTTGGTAGAATAATAGAGGGACAGTTGCCTTGAGACTGGGTCACCCCAGGTAGAGTATGAGGGAAGGAAGAAGGTGTCTGGGGAAGGAGCTGAAGGACCAGAAGCCAGCAATGAAAAGCAGAGGGCGAACCAGAGTCCAAGGGCTGAATTCAGAGGAAGCTGGCAACGCAAGCCCTTGATTCCTCCCTGGTTTTAGAAATGGGAATTCAGTGAAGGATGCAAACAGCTTGGGTGGCAGATGGCTTCAGAGAGAACTGTTTCAACCCAAATTTGAGCCATGTATCGAAAACTCAGGCAGAAAGAATCTTGTTTTCTTCAAGGTTTTAGGAATGAGGTCAGTGGGAGAGAGAGAGAGAAATGTTGAGTGGGGCAGAGAGGGAAGAAGAAGGGAGAGAGAGAAATGAGACAGAGAGGAAATAGAGACAGAAAGAGAGAAGTTTGGCAAAGAAACCACACTTGTATTAATGTAGACAAAACTGGGCTCATTGATTATGCTGGAAATGTCATCTGCCTACCTGGCTGTAATGTCAACCCCGTGTACTTCAAAATGATTTCCTGAAAGTGTATATTTGTAGTGTTTCATGCCTCACTGTGTATCAGAAAATACAAGAGGGCCAGCCTCTTACCTGTATGCCAAATTGGAGGCAGGGCTCACACTAGCCCATAGGACGCATGTGTGAATGAGAAACAGGCAGACACAGTCCCACACCAGGATGTGTGGCTTACTAAGCAGCACAGTTGAGATTTCAGCCCCGTTTCTCTCCACTGCCAGACCTGCTTGTTCAGGAAACTCCCTGCCCAACGCTTTGAGTTCGCCCTGTTACAAAAAATTGAATTTCTGCTTAGGCTTCAGGCAGTAGAGCAGATGAGAGCCCCCTTGGATCTGTATAGAGACAGTGTAGGTCTCTTACAAGTCAGAGCTTCTACTGTAAATATTGTAAACTTTTTTTTTAGGATTCAAATTATCCAAGTAAGTATGAATCTGGGCAGAAAAACAAAAAACAAGCAAGTTTAGGGGAGATGTACCTTGAAGTCAAGGAGGAAGAAGACACTGGTCCATCTACATCACAGAGAACCACCCTGGCAGTCAGTCAGGATGCAGATGTTTCAGTCAGATTGTTCTCACATCCATAAACTAGTTATAATTTTCATGTTTTTGTAAATAACTATAGAAATAGTTTCAGAAGTCACCATGTTCATGTTGTTACTGCCTTTTTTGGTAATTTCTTGTTAATCTTTTCTGTTTCTTTTTTTCCTGTTTCTGAAAATAAAGAAAACACAAGTATGCATTTTTGTTTTTCCTCGTTTTCCTTAAAAAACAGGAAAAATATTTAAATTCTCCCCATTGTGCCCTTTTATTCTTTCTACTGACTCGTTTGTTAGTTGGTAACTTACCTCTTCTTTGCAAAAATTTCAATGAACTGATCTACATACATATTCACAAGGGCTCCATAACATTATCAAAATTAACAAAGTGTATACACTACTATTAATATATATAAAATGGATAACCAAGTATCTACTGCATAGCACAGGAAACTGCTCAATATTTTGTAATATTCTATAATGGGAAATAATCTGGAAGAGAATATATATGTATTACAAGATGATTTAAAATAAACATTCATTGGTTGTCCTCTTACAAATCTCAAGGTGGAATTGGCTAATTTTCTGGAAGCACAATGCTTGAGTTAAGGATTTCAGAGAGAAAGGCTGAGCCCCTCTAGTGACTGGAATATTCTGGAGCACTGTCCAGGTTACTGCCTTCCTGGTTTGATGATTTAGATAATTGCTATGCTATTTCTTAAAAAAATTTTAAACTAGTTTAATTTCTAGCACAAAAGCTGTGCTGAAAACACCACATGGAAAAGTGTATACAGATATAGGAAATGGTTAAGGATATTTCGTGATAAATGCAAAGTTTAAAAACTCAGTTTCAAAGTCTCATGTAAATTGATGTTGCAAAGGAGTGTGATCTGTTTAAATTTAGAATGCTGAAACAGTTTGGGTATTAACAGTTGTTTTTGGTGTGATCCAGTCTTCAACCAGGATTTCCCTGGTGGCTCAGATGGTAAAGCGTCTGCCTACAATGCGAGAGACCTGGGTTTGATCCCTGGGTCGGGAAGATCCTCTGGAGAAGGAAATGGCAGCCCATTCCAGTACTCTTGCCTGGAAAATCCCATGGATGGAGGAGCGTGGTAGGCTAAAGCCCATGGAGTTGCAAAGAAATGGACATTACTGAGCAACTTCACATTCAATCTTCAACCAACTGATAGCTTGAGTTAGCTTGAGTTCTTCCTCATTGCTAATATTTCCATTGAGGGGTAGCTTGGCATCCTCATTTGCTTATACAGTTTGTACTTCATGTTGCTTTTCACTTAAACCTCGCTCCTAGTGTCCAGTATTCTATGCAACTAGACTGTGCTCCATAGATATTGATTAGATTGACCTTCCATCACTACCATCGTATTGTTAACAGAGCTCCCTTTCAACCTCAAAGTATCTTAGATTAGATAAGAAATCATGCAGTCCCTCTAAGATTTCTCAGTGATAATAGTGGCTAACTTTTGGGGACATTTGCTCTCCACCAGGCACTATGCTAAACTCTTTACATATATGATTTCATTTATAACTGAAAGTGAAAGTCACTCAGTCGTGTCCAACTCTTTGCGACCTCATGGACCATACAGTCCATGGAATTCTCCAGGCTAGAATACTGGAGTGGGTAGCCTTTCCCCTCTCCAGGGGATCGTCCCAAAACAGGAATCGAACCCAGGTCTTCCACATTGCAGGTGGATTCTTTACCAGCTGAGCCACAAGGGAAACCCATTTACAACTTCATTTATAACTGAATATAGCCTAATTTCCATTCGGCAACTAGTGTTATTTTACAAGAGACAATGGAAGCTAAGAGGTTAAGTAATTTACTCATGTCATACAACTAGTAACTGAAGAAATGAGACTTGAATTTGGGCCTGTTTAATCCACACAATGACTGTTTGTTACTTAAACAGTGATATTAGGACCAGTTTGTGGGTACCAGCGCCCAAGTTAGTTTGGCAGCAGCATAAGGAGCTGTGGACCACTGAGTGTCTTTTGATGGCCTTAAATTTATTCAGCCCATTCATCTGAAAAATAACTTAGTTCTTTTTATTTTTTTTTAATAAATGACAAAGCAAAACAAAGAATTTTTTTATTGAGCCAGGGCTGATAATCTTGACAGTGTTGTGTTACAATGGCGTTTTAAATTTTGTGCTAGCTACCATTTTAATTGTTGAGTTTGATGGGTGCATTAGGGACAGTGGTTCACTGTTTCACTTTGGAAAAGCTGCTCTCTGTCAGGTTTGTGAACAGCTTTATTGTTCATTCACATAAAGGTCAGTAGCTCTAAAAATACAGACTTAAATGGGTGATATAATAGATATTTTATATGTGTTGCAGGTGCTTTCTCCCATTGATTGAAATGAGTACTTTAGTACCTCCTGGAGAGAAGATGTACGTGTGTGTGTGTGTGAGTGCACACATGTCATGTTTGAAAGCCCAGTCTTAGAAACTTATACACTAGATTTTTCAAATCTTTCTTAAGAAATATCAACATCCCTTGTGAATGAATCTCTTATATATCATTGGGTTTGATAGGCATTTTTGTCTGTGTAACTTCGAAACACAGACCCAGTCAGAAAAACAGAAGCAAGATTTGTGGTGGGTTTTGTTTGATTTAAAAAATTGAATCAATTGATTCTGTTTAGTTTGGCAACCTTACAGCTTCAGCGTCTTCAAACCTATCTCAGCTTTTCCTGGCTAAAGAGACTATTTCTTTCCTTTTGTTTCTTTTCTTAGCTTGATGAAGTGTTAAGATTTGTGCATTTCAAAACAGACCATTTAAAAATGAAGCGGCCACATTGTCTAAGACTGGGAGCCTTAGAGACATGTTCTATTCTCAGGTCTGGAAAAATCTCTTAAAGCAGAATCACATGACCTGAAAAACAATATTACTGTAGCTTGAGATAGTACATTTTACTTTCTAATCAGTTGTTGAAATCACAGTATTAACTGGAAAGTTCTTGGCAAAGTTATGCTATCTGTATAGGCATGTTCTAAATCCTGGCAGAGAATATTCCTTTGAGTTACATTTTTCTACAACTTTCAAAGGTCTCTTCTTGACTGTAGTCCTTCATCCTCACTAGAATAATACAGGATTAATCTATCCATTGGGAGAATGAAGATATATTGAACGAAGTTACTACAAATACCCTATGGAAATGTTAAAACATTATAATCCCCAACTCTAGTGGTCTGGGGGTTGGGGTGGTGGTGAGGAAATTGGGTTCCTCTGTTCTATAGGTGGAACTCTTGGTAACTCCATGCCTCACGCTCCAGGGAAATTAATTTTTTAGCTATGCTCTTCTAGGCTTTGACATATGTTTTCCTTGACCTTTTTCTTCTGTATTCAATCAACCCTTATCTGCATTAAAATAAGAAACAACAAACAAAAAAAGCTTCCTTAAAGCAAGAAAACTTTAAAGGAAAAAAAACCTTGGAAACCACACAGTGACCAAAAGGCAGTTTCTGAAGACAGTGCAGTGAGCAGTGCAAAGTCATGGGTTTCAGAAGAATTAAGCTCTAACAAGCTGCCCCATTTACTAGATTTGTGCCTTTAAGCAATGGTTTAATCTCTTCATCTCTATTCATCTGTAAAATAGGAGAATTTCACTTTGTACAGCTAGTCTGGGATCAAATGATAAACAGGAAAGTACTTTGTAGAAGATGGATATTGGCTGTTGAGTTGATGATGAACCTCTTGCCTTGGGGCTGTTGAGTATATTCAGTGCACAACCCAGTTGTTTTCCTCCACTTTATGGAAACCCCTAAGGAGAAGTAATTTCAGATTGTGTGTCATCATGTAGATCGCTCTTCCCTTGTGGTCTTGTTTTGGGTTCTCTAGTGGATGTTGGGGCTTGTCTGCTCAGGCCACAGCTTGCACTCCATTACCTCTTGACGGCCTGCTTTCCCAACTTCTCCCTCTTGCTCTGCCAATACTTCATTGCCTTGTCTTCCTGGGGGCAGTTCTAACTTGTGGACGCCCTTGTGAAGTTTTCTAGCTTCAAATCTTTTTTTTTTTTTTGGTTGTATGATTTTATTTTTTTTTAATTTATTTATTTTAATTGGAGGCTAATTACTTTACAGTATTGTAGTGTTTTTTGCCATACATTGACATGAATCAGCCATGGGTGTACATGTGTTCCCCATCCTGAACACCCCTCCCACCTCCCTCCCCACCTCATCCCTCTGGGTCTTCCCAGTGCACCAGGCCTGATCATCCTGTCTCATGCCTCGAACCTGGACTGGCGATCTATTTCACCTATGATAATATACATGATTCAATGCTATTCTCTCAAATCATCCCACCCTTGCCTTCTCCCACAAAATCCAAAAGACTGTTCTATACATCTCTGTCTCTTTTTCTGTCTCACATATAGGGTTATTGTTACCATCTTTCTAAATTTCATATATATGTGTTAATATACTGTATTGGTGTTTTTCTTTCTGACTTACTTCACTCTGTATAATAGGCTCCAGTTTCATCCATCTCATTAGAACTGATTCAAATGAATTCTTTTTNTCATGAAACATTTGATTTTCTCTTTCTGACTTTCTTCATTTAGTAGGATAACCTCTATGTTCATCCATGTTACTGCAAATGGCATTATTTCATTCTTGTTTGTAGCTAAATAATATACCATCTTCTTTATCTGTGATGAACACTTAGGTTGAAACATAACTTCTCTAAAAGATGATGGAAATAGGAATTTTATGTTGTATTTCTGATATTGAATGTCAACAACTAACTCAAAAAAATAAGCAAAACACTGTGAAGGTTCAGCTGGTTATGTCTGGGGACCAAATTTTACCCTGTTTATAACCTCTTTCGGGAAAATGTACAACATTCTAACCATTTCAGTGAGTAATGATGCAATATGAAAAGGAGCCATGCTGCTGCTGCTGCTGTCCCTTCAGTCGTGTCTGACTCTGTGTGACCCCACAGACGGCAGNTGAAATGTTGTATAAAGTCTGAAAGAAAAAAGCAATAATTTCTGTATTTACTGTGTGTCACTTACATATGTTATATAAGTGATATATGCCATATATGCTTAGATATGCTACACTTTATATATGCTATTTTATTTATTTAAATTCCTATAGCAACCCTGCTTAACAGGTGAGGAAAGCCCTCTGAGAGGTTGAATGACAGCAACACAACATCTGGCCAATGGCCTTCCTCTAGTGGGGGGCAGGGTGGGTTTAAATCCATAGGTGCATAATTCCAAAGCCCTTCATCTTCCTCCTGGCTCTCCTGCTTTTACAGTGTAGTGTTGCAATGAGATTTGCATTAGGCTAGAATTCACATAGTCAGGGTCAGGCTTTCCATGTTGTTGTGATTTTTGGTTTTAGTGGGGAGCAGTTCCTCGAATCAAAATGATCTCTGCACACTACTGGCAATTCTCCATTTCACTTTATCATGCAGCCTGAAACTCTAGCCTTTGGGGTTGTTTCTGTGTTTTAACAAGCATAATCCTGGGAAGGTCCCTGGTTAAGCAATCTTTTCTTCATTTATTTACCTATTAACCTGCAGTGAATCTGATTACATGCTTCCAATAACTAGCTGAGGTCATGGGAATTTTCCTAGGACAGCAAGGAAGAAGGGGTCATTTTGAAGTATGCACCACCACTCAGATAGAGTGACTAGACTATGGAACCTGGCCCCCCACTTGTCCCTCAGGTAACAGGCAAGCTTCTGGCCACTTCAGAAGCATTGCAGTGGACACACAAGTTTGTGAGCTACTTTACTTTTTACTGAGAGCTATCTCTTCAGATAGACCAGGCTGCATTATTGCTTGGTGCTTTTTATTCTATTATATTTATACTACAAGAAGGCAGCATTTTGCTTTGAATAGATTTTGAACATCTTTTGTACTTCTAAAATAAAAATCTAATCTTTTTAAAAACTTTTTTTTTTTTTTTTTGCTTCAGATTAAGGAGCAGACCCAATGAATAATGAAAGAGAAAACAAAGCTGAAGGAGTAATCACAAAAAAGCTATTTCCAAGGGATAGGATTATGATGGACTTTTAATGTATTGTTTGAATTTTTTATAATAAGAAAGCTCATTTTAGAAGGAGAGCAAATAGCAGACTTTTGTTATTGGAGCAAGAATGAATGAAAAAAAATTATTAGCTGTCGATGTGTGGTAAGAACAAGGTGGGTAGGTTTTACTGCTTTTGTGAGGTAAAATCTGGAATTACCTCAAGAAGAGAGGCCTAGGACTTTCCTGGTCGTCTAATGGTTAAGACTTTGCCTTCCAATACAGGGGGTGCAAGTTTGATCCCTGGCTGGGGAGCTAAGATCCCACATGATTCATGGCCAAAAAACCAGAATCCGAAGCAAAAATAATGTTATAACAAATTCAATGAGGGGTTTTTGAAAAAAAGAAGAGACGCTCTACTGAGAGCATGAGAAGTGGAAGTGTTAGTTGCTCAGTCGTGTCTGACTCTTTGCAACCCCATGGACTGTAGCCTTCCAGGCTCCTCTGTCCATGGAATTCTCCAGGCAAGGATACTAGAGTTGGTAGCCATTCCCTTCTCCAGGGGATTTCCCCAACATAGGGATCAAACCTAGATCTTCTGTGTTGCAAGCAAATTCTTTTTTTTTAAAATTTATTTATTTTAATTGGAGGCTAATTACTTTACAATATTGTAGTGGCTTTTGCCATACATTGACATGAATCAGCCATGGGTGTACCTATGCTCCCCATCCTGAGCACATCTCCTACCTTCCTTCCTATCCCATCCCTCAGGGTCATCCCAGTGCACCAGCCCTGAGCACCTTGTTTCATGCATCAAACCTGAACTGGTGATCTATTTCACATATGACAATATACAAGTTTCAATGCTATTCTGTCAAATCATCCCACTCTCGCCTTCTCCCACAGAGTCCAAAAGACTGTTCTATACATCTCTGTCTCTTTTGTTGTCTTGCATATAGGGTCATTGTTACCATCTTTCTAAATTCCATATATATGCATTAGTATACTGTATTGGTGTTTTTCTTTCTGACTTACTTCACTCTGTATAATAGGCTCCAGTTTCATCCACCTCATTAGAACTGATTCAAATGTATTCTTTTTAATGGCTGAGTAATATTCCATGGTGTATATGTACCAGAGCTTTCTTATCCATTGGTCTGCTGATAGACATCTAGACTGCTTCCATGCCCTGCCTATTATAAACAGTGCTGTGAGCAACATTGGGGTACATGTGTCTCTTTCAATTCTGGTTTCCTCAGTGTGTATGCCCAGCAGAGGGATTGCTGGGTCATATGGCAGTTTTATTTCCCATTTTTTAAGGAATCTCCACACTGTTCTCCATAGTGGCTGTACTAGTTTGCATTCCCACCAACAGTGTAAGAGGGTTCCCTTTTCTCCACACCCTCTCCAGCATTTATTGCTTGTAGACTTTTGGATAGCAGCCATCCTGACTGGCGTGTAATGGTACCTCATTGTGGTTTTGATTTGCATTTCTCTGATAATAAGTGATGTTGAGCATCTTTTCATGTGTTTGTTAGCCATCTGTCTGTCTGTTCTGGAGAAATGTCTGTTTAGTTCTTTGGCCTATTTTTTGATTGGGTCATTTATTTTTCTGGAATTGAGCTGCAGGAGTTGCTTGTATATTTTTGAAATTAATTCTTTGTCAGTTGTGCAAGCAGATTCTTTACCATCTGAGCCACCAGGGGAGCCATAGGATGCAGGAAAAGGAGCAGCTGAAGGGGCGATTCTCAAAGTCCTCTTTGGGCTTTCTCTTCCTGCCCCCACTCCTTTAGCCCCAAGAGTGTGGAGTTCTCCCAGAATTCTTTTTATCCCTTCTGTGAGCGAGAGTGAGAATGGTTGG